AGGCCAGCAGTTCAAAAACATCCTGGTTAACATGGCAAAACCCCGTCTCTACTAAAAACACAAAAATTACCCAGGTGTGGTGGCACACACCTGTAATCGCAGCTACTTGGGAGGCTGAGGCACAAGACTCACTTGGACCTGGGAGGCAGAGGTTGCAGTGAGCTGAGATGGTGCCACTGCACTGTAGCCTAGGCAACACAGTGAGATTCCGTCAAAACAAAAAACAAAAAACTTTGCTCCTGTGGCCATGCTCTCCACACCCTGAAACCCGCTCCTTTACCAGTTAGATGGGATGCATGTTCTTAGGCAGAAGAAGGATGCCAGAGAGGAAAGACTTTGTCACATGAATTTATCTACAGCGCTTCTGAGTTTGAAGAGTACACAGTTCCTAAATGACCAATCTATCCAAGTACAAAGTTTATTTCAAGAAACACAAAGAAAAGGCAAGCTAATTTTGAAAGTTTAAGAAAGGGAACATACTTTGCATTGTCATAAAACAATTCCAAAGATGTTTGCTTCCCTTTAAATCTTTCTCTATCCGTCTCTTAACTGGGGAACACTGTGGTAATAACATCAAAACTATTTGCTCCCTTCATTTGAAAGTTATTTTCAAATGCAATGTTAAAAGTGAATGTAACAATCCATTTAAATGGTTTTTGTTTCTTACAGATTGACAAAATAATGAGTTCCATAGATGTTGGAATCAACAATGAACTTAAAGAAATAAATGGTGAGACCACAAGTAAGGATACCTTCCTTTACATTATAATGAATAAATGTGCTTAAAGAGTAGTGAGAAAATGGTAGGAATCTTTAGATAATTGCAGTTTTTTCATTATAACAATAACTACAAATTATTTCCTTCCACTCTCAGGTCTAACAACGACATATAAGCAACATCAGTTATAAGAATATTGACTTAGCAAATTGAGAGGGGTTTTTTTCCCATGTGCTATTTTACAATGCCAGTGAAGTTTTTCCTTTGTTTTTAGAATTTTTTAATAATACTTTTAATTTAAATATACTTCAAACTCTCTGTTGGTTGTCTTTTTTATTATTATTATACTTTAAGTTCTAGAGTACATGTGCACAACGCTCTGATTTGTTACATAGGTATACATGTGCCATGTTGGTTTGCTGCACCCGTGAACTCATCATTTACATTAGGTATTTCTCCTAATGCTATCCCTCACCCAGCCCCCCACCCCCCAACAGGACCCTGCATGTGACGTTCCCTGCCCTATGTCCGTGTGTTCTCATTGTTCACTTATGAGTGAGAACAGGTGGTGTTTGGTTTTCTGTCCTTGTGACAGTTTGCTGAGATTGATGGTTTCCTGCTTCATCCATGTCCCTGCAAAGGACATTAACTCATCCTTTTCTATGGCTGCATAGTATTCCATGGTGTATATGTGCCACATTTTCTTAATCCAGTCTATCATGGATGGACATTTGGTTGGTTCCAAGTCTTTCCTATTGTGCATAGTGCCACTATAAACATACGTGTGCATGTGTCTTTATTGTAGCATGATTTATAATCCTTTAGGTATATATCCAGTAATGGGATCTCTGGGTCACATGGTATTTCTAGTTCTAGATCCTTGAGGAATCGCCATACACTGTCTTCCACAATGGTTGAACTAATTTACGCTCCCACCAATAGTGTAAAAGTGTTCCTATTTCTCCACATCCTCTCCAGTATCTGTTGTTTCTTAACTTTTTAATGATTGTCATTCTAACTGGCATGATATGGTATCTCATTGTGGTTTTGATTTACATTTCTCTGATGACCAGTGATGATGAGCATTTTTTCATATATCTGTTGGCTGCATAAGTGTCATCTTTTGAGAAGTGTCTGTTCATAACCTTTGCCCACTTTTTGATGGGATTATTTGTTTTTTTCTTGTAAATTTGTTTAAGTTCTTTGTGGATTTTGGATATTGGCCTTTTGTCTGATGGGTAGATTGCAAAGATTTTCTCCCATTCTGTAGGTTGCCTCTTCGCTCTGATGATAGTTTCTTTTGTTGTGTGGAATCTCTTTAGTTTAATTAGATCCCATGTGTCTATTCTGGCTTTTGTTGCCATTGCTTTTGGTGTTTTAGTCATGAAGTCTTTGCCCATGCCTATGTCCTGAATGGTATTGCCTAGGTTTTCTTCTA